CTTTCATCATTACTTTATTTACTTCAATATATTTCTAAAACATAACATTTTGTACAAAATATTGTTTTACCTTGAATATGCTTTTATGTGCTGAAACTTGTATATCAGTTTATTGGAAATTTAATCGTCGAGAAATATTATACAATTGGAGTTGCATACTTTCAATAAAAATATGTTAAAACATAAAAATCCAGACCTACTTATAACCAATGTTTTGAAAACCTATTATATAAAATTTATAATAAGAATAAAGAACAACACATTATATTGGTGAACACATTATCAAATTATAAACATAATATATACTTACATCAATTATGTCAATTTAATGTTTATCAAAAAAATTATTTTATCATAATTATTTATACATTTTAAGTTAATAATATATTCCAAATAGTTATAATTGGAAAAAAAGTATTTTATTGGAAAGTGTTCAATAGAATAAAATACACTTAAATACTTTTTGATAAACAGTATTTAAAATATGTACTTATTCAATACTTGTAAAAGTATTTGAATACTAATGCTCAAATACTTTACAACACTAACTATATAATAACGTTATAAGCTAAACAATTAGTGTATAATGCCCCTAGCTGAAGTGTTTGAATTTAAAAAAAGGCGGGAAACGTTTGGACGATTAATTGCTGCTATCACACCAGTTGGCCACTCTCTCTATATCAAGGGTCTCATAAACTGTATACCGCGTAATCGAAGAATTTTCTGGAGGAAGCGGCAACGTTGGTGAAATGTAAAGATGTCGGTACTAGGGTCGCAGCAAGAAAGCCGTAACGGCGGCAGTCTTGTCGGCCCCAATGAATTCTACCCTCAGTCGTCACAAACCATAAATCGCAATATACAGAGTGATCCATTTAAGTGGGTGAACTAATTATTGCGAAAAGTATTAACTTTTTTTATTTTAGATTCTGAGTGAAACGATGAATGTATTGATTTTACAATGATGTGTGTTTTTTTTTTTGTGTCTGTGTACACGATAATTAGTCGAAATAATGCTTCGATTTTCGACTTCAGTATCTTGTTCGATTGGAGAGTGAATATCGTTGGTGCATTGGGGAGGTCAAAATTTAAAATTCCCAATAGTTTTCACAAGCGCCGGGAAAAACAACATAAAAATGAAGGAAAAACGGGAATTTTTACGCAAAATAGGTTTTTGACAAAATCGAATTTGGTTTTTGGTGTAACTTTAAAACAAATGACTGTAGGAACATGAAATTTTGACTGGTTGTTTATATTTGCCTTTTCTATACACGATAACATTTTCAAAATATTTTGATTTATTATGAACTGTTTAGGGACATTTTCATTTTACATTTTTTTTTAATTTTTTTTCTAAAAATATCAATAAAACTTTGTTTGTTGAGTAGAAATACTTGAAAATTTAATACAAGGTTCCTACCATATTGTTTCAAAGGCAGATGAAAAATATTAAAAATCGTTAGTCACAGTTTTTTTTTATAAGCATTTAAAGTTCAAATATTGACAAATCACGAAAATTAGCAAATTATTTTGAGTTAAGTATTCGTAAAAATTTTTCTTTTTAAATCTAAGATTTGAAAATGTAATACAATATTACTCATAAGTTTGTCTACCTTTATCAATAAAAAAATCTCTACCGGACAGTCAAATTAAATTTTTATGAGCGTTTGAAATTCAAATTTTTACAACATTGGATGTTCACTCGATTTCTCATGGAGCGATTTCCTTATTTTATTGTTATTCATAAACGAATAACTATAGATACATGAAAATTTCACTGAATGTTTATATAAGCATTTCCTATACACCATACAATTTTGAAAATATTTTGACTCTTTTTGAGCTGTTTACGGATATTTTCATTTTTAAATTTTTTTAGTTTTTTCTTCTATGAATATTAATAAAGTTTTATCTGTTGGGCCAAAAAGTGTAAAAATTTAATACAAGGCTCCTGATATATTGTTACAATATCAGTTGAAAGATATTAAAAATACATAGGCACAGTTTTTTTTTATAAGAATTTAAACATCGAATTTTAACAGAATTTTTCAAAATCTCGAAAATTATTAATCATCGTAATTAATAAATTATAAAATAATCAGTTTTTATAGCTAAGGATTGAAAATTTAAAAAAAGATTCCACGTAAGTAGTTAATTCTTTTACCAAAAAATCTAAAAAATATACAATCACAGTTTATTTTTATAGTCATTTTATGTTCCAATTTGGACGAAATTACACATTAAAAAACCTAGTTATTTTGTTGTGATTATATAATATTATTCATGGGTACCTACTTGAAACTTCTAAAGTTTACTATTATATATCAATGATAGTATCAGGATTTGTTATTGATGTTGGTGTATAACGGAGGGCTATATTTTGTTGGAAAATATTTTGTTGGAACGTATATTTTCGGAATATTTTTCCCGGACACATATTAATTTGGAACCGTATTTAGTTGGAAAAATATTTTATCGGAAATTTTTTAGTTGGAACAATATATGCTCGGAATAGTATTTGTTTGGAAATGTATATGTTTGGAAATTAAATAATCGGAAAATATTTTTTTGGAATCGGATATGTTTGGAAATTAAATAATCGGAAAATATTTTTTTTGAATTGGATTTCATTGGAAAATTATTTGAAGGGAAAAAGATAATAACGGAATAGTATTTGAACGGAAATTTTTCAGCTTGGTATGGAAAATTTCGGAAAATATTTTTCTGGAAACGTATTTTGTTGGAAAAATAATCCATTGAAAATTATTCAGTTGGAAAAATATGTTATCAGAATATTATTTGCTCGTAAAGATACGTTTTTGATACCGTAATAATTAGGCATAATCATTAATAGTTTGAATATAACCTTACACTTAACCTATACGTATTCAGGTATTCTGCATGAAATCAATAAAACATCTAGGTTGTATAGGGCAGGGGTAGCGAATTATTTGACCAATACGTGCCAAAATTTACCTTTTTTTTCCAGGGTGCCATGAAAAATATTTGTATATATATCTATATTATATTTAATATTGTAAAAAAAAAATTATTACAATTTTATTGTATAATTAATGCATTAATATAAAAAAAAGTTAGTTTATGTACATAATATTATAATAACATTACTTGTTAACTATTTATGAAATAGAGTATTAAGAGAATAAGTAACGTCCGCTGTCAAATAAAAAAAAAATATATTTATAATAAATATATATATTATTTAAAAATATTTTAACTTTTCTTTTGCCCTCAAAATCTTTTTGCGTGCCACCTCGGGCACGCGTGCCATGGATTTGCCATCTCTGGTATTGCCGTATAGGGTATTAATTAGAGCCTAGCCAATACCACTTTTTCTAATGTGCGGAATATATTGTGGGGGCCCCCGGGACCCTGTCTCATATAAATAAATATGACAAATGACAATGCATGTTTTCCTTGTTAAATAACATTTAATATTGTGTACAAGACATTAGTACCTATAGTATTTATTTATTTAATTTTACTCAATAATAAATTATAAAAAGGTGGGTAAGTGGATGTCGCTCTGCTGTACAGTAGGTTACAAGTGGGTCACTGTATAATGGATGCTATTAAATTTGAATTCAATGATACAATATCATTGTATAAGAAAAACGATTCTGAGCGAAGACGGTATGTCAGTCTAGGTTTAAGACAAATTATATACATATCTATGGTATTAAAAAAAAAATTGAAATATAATAAATTCCAAATTAACCAAATCACATTATCACAATATCCATTAGGTACTTATAATACGTTGTACATCAACATCAATAACAAACCCTGATACTATCATAGATATATAATAGTACACATTAGAAGTTTCAAGTAGGTACCCACGAATAATATTATATAATCACAACAAAATAACTAGGTTTTTTAATAAGTATGTAATTTCGTCCAAATTTGAACACAAAATGACTATAAAAATAAACTGTGATTGTATATATTTTAGATTTTTCGGTAAGAGAATTAACTACTTACGTGGAATCTTGTTTTAATTTTTCAATCCTTAGCTATAAAAACTGAACATTTCATAATTTATTAATTACGATGATTAATAATTTTCGAGATTTTGAAAAATTCTGTCAAAATTCGATGTTTAAATGCTTATAAAAAAAAATTGTGTCCATGTATTTTTTATATTTTTCAACTGATATTGTAACAATATATCAGGAGCCTTGTATTAAATTTTTACACTTTTTGGCCCAACAGATAAAACGTTATTGATATTCATAGAAAAAAAAACTAAAAAAATTGAAAAATGAAAATATCCGTAAACAGCTCAAAAAGAGTCAAAATATTTTCAAAATTGTATGGTGTATAGGAAATGCTAATATAAATATTCGGTGAAATTTTCATTTATCTATAGTTATTCGTTTATGAATAACAACAAAATAAGGAAATCCCTACATGAGAAATCGAGTGAACATCCAATGTTGTAAAAATTTGAATTTCAAACGGTCATAAAAATTTAATTTGACTGTTCGGTAGAGATTTTTTTATTGATAAAGGTAGACAAACTTATGAGTAATCTTGTATTACATTTTCAAATCTTAGATTTAAAAAGAAAATTTTTTACGAATTCTTAACTCAAAATTATTTGCTAATTTTCGTGATTTTTTCCATATTTTGTCAATTTTTGAACTTTAAATGCTTATAAAAAAAACTGTGATTAACGATTTTTAATATTTTTCATCTGCCTTTGAAAAAATATACTAGGAGCCTTGTATTAAATTTTCAAGTATTTCTACTCAACAAACAAAGTTTAATTGATACTTTCAGAAAAAAAACTAAAAAAAAATGGAAAATGAAAATGTCTCTAAACAGTTCAAAATAAATCAAAATATTTTGAAAATGTTATCGTGTATAGAAAAGGCAAATGTAAACAACCAGTCAAAATTTCATGTTCCTACAGTCATTTGTTTTAAAGTTACACCAAAAACCAAACAGGTAATGCTATCGAAGAAAATTTGCCAATGCAGCTACTTAATAACAATGGTAATTTATTATATAAATTGATTATTACAAATTTTAGATTCTGAGCGGAGCGATGAATGTATTGGTTTTACAATGATGTATGTTTTTATATTTTAGATTCTGAGCGGAGCGATGAATGTATTGGTTTTACAATGATGTGTGTTTTTATATTTTTATATTTTTATATTTTTATATTTTAGATTCTGAGCGGAGCGATGAATGTATTGGTTTTACAATGATGTGTGTTTTTTTTTATATTTTTATATTTTTATATTTCTTTTTTGTGTCTGTCATCACGTTTTGGGACAGTAAAAGTGCTTCGATTTTCTTCAATAGTACCTTTTCTGATAGGAAAGTGAATCTAGTTGGTACTTTGGGGGGTCAAAGTAAACATTTTCCAGTAGTTTTCACAAGCGCCGGGAAAAACAACATAAAAATTAAGGAAAAACGGGAATTTTTACGCAAAATCGATTTTCCAAAAAATCGAATTTGGTTTTTGGTGTAACTTTAAAACAAATGACCGTAGATACATGAAATTTTCACTGGTTGTTTATATTTGCATTTTCTATACACGATAACATTTTCAAAATATTTTGATTTATTTTGAACTGTTTAGGGACATTTTCATTTTTCATTTTTTTTAGTTTTTTTTCTAGAAATATCAATAAAATTTTATTTGTTGGTTGCGAAAGCTTGAAAATTTAATAGAAAGCTCCTAATATGTTGTTTCAAAGGCAGATGAAAAATATTAAAAATCCTTAGTCACAATTTTTTTTTATAAGCATTTAAAGTTCAAAAATTGACAAAATATGGAAAAATCAAGAAAATTAGCAAATTATTTTGAGTTAAGAATTCGTAAAAATTTTTCTTTTTAAATCTAAGATTTGAAAATGAAACACAAGATTCCTTATAAGATTATCTACCTTTATCAATAAAAAAATCTCTACCGGACAGTCAAATTAAATTTTTATGAGCGTTTGAAATTCAAATTTTTACAACATTGGATTTTCACTCGATTTCTCATGTAGCGATTTCCTTATTTTGTTGTAATTCAAAAACGAATAACTGTAGATACATGAAAATTTCACTGAATGTTTATATTAGCATTTCATATACACCATACAATTTTGAAAATATTTTGACTCTTTTTGAGCTTTTTATGGACATTTACAGCTTTCAATTTTTTTTAGTTTTTTTTTCTATAAATATCAATAAAGTTTTATCTGTTGGGCCAAAAAGTGTAAAAATTTAATACAAGGCTCCTGATATATTGTTACAATATCAGTTGAAAAATATTAAAAATACATAGGCACGATTTTTTTTTATAAGCATTTAAAGTTGGAATTTTGACAAAATTTATCAAAATCTCGAAAATTATCAATCGTTGGAATTAAAAAATTATAAAATGTTCAGTTTTTATAACTAAGAGTTGAAAATTTAAAACAAAGATTCTCTTAAATAATTCATACTGTAACCAAAAAATCTAAAAAATATATAAACACACTTATTTTTTACAGACATTTTAATTTCAAATTTAGACAAAATTTCATATTTAAACCAAGAATTACGATTTTAGTTATTTTGTTGTGATTGAATAATACTATTCGTGGGTACTTGAAACTTCTAAACTCTAAAGTGTACTATTATATATCTATGATAGTATCACGGTTTTTGTTGATGTATAACGCGTTATAAGTATCTAATGGATATTGTGATATGATTAATTTGGAATTTATTATAGGTACCTATTATAGGTCAATTTTTGTTTAATACCATAGATATGTATATAATATGCCTTATACATAGACTGACATACCATCACCGCTCAGAATCGTTTTTCTTATACAATGATATTATATCATTGAATTCAAATTTAATACCATCCATTATACAGTGACCCACTTGTAACCTACTGTACAGCAGAGCGACACCCACTTGCCCACCTTTTTATTCTTAATTATATCCATAACTTAAGCCTATTTATTTTTATTTATGAACCCAAAACTGATGTTTGATTTAGCCATTCCACTTATAAGGGACAATCCTGGTAAATAAACTTTAATCTCATTGTTTTATTTTTAAATTTCAATGATAAAATACAATTTTTAACTATATAAGTACATCCCTTAATATCTCGATATGTAAAATAATGTACATATTATATTAATATTATTAATATTAAAATACTGTACACATTATATTAATATTATTTTGGTTTATACCTTAGAAAGTGATAATGAAGACAGACCAAATTTGGTTGCAAATTTTGATGAAGATGGACCTTTATTCGATAATGGTAAATACAAAATTATATATTTTTAATTCTGAGTTCTGTGAAGAAGCTAGTGTTTTTACAATGATGTTTATTTTTTTTTTCTACCTAAACACTTGAATGAAAATACTAAACTTGTCCAAATGTTTCGACCAGCAACTTAAAGACACACAATTTACCTCTAGATGGTACTTTTGAGGGGTTATTTTTCTCAAAATTTGGGAAAACTACCCAAAATTTGAAAAAAATGACTAGGAAAATATGTTTAAATATAGACTAAATAAATATTAGTTAAAATATTATTAAATAAATAAATATTTAAAAATTTTAATATAGACGATCAATAATATTATGAGAAATATTATGGCTCAAGAAAATTTTAGAAATTTTTTTTCAAACATTCTTTCTCATCAAAATTTTTTTTCCTGTTAGATAATTGTGGGTTATAAAATTGACAGGCAAAATATTTTAATTTTTTTTAATTTTTATGTATATTTTTTTATATAAACTGAAGCTCCACTCAAAATTGTTTTATTAAAGTAAATGATTTATCGTTACTTTAATTTTTTTTTTTTAATAAATTGGATGTATACAGAATGAAGTGAACCAAATAAAAACACCCAGAATATATAAAATATTTATTTTAGTCAACTGTACAAAATCTATGTTTGCAACCTATGTCATGTACATTATGATATACTTTTAGAAATACATGTTTCTATGAATCAATTCGATATTCAGAGATTCTGAGTGTATTTTAACTTACGAATAAAATATAATACGGTTTAAAATGTTTGCTATGTGTGTAATATGTTTATACTAGATGATTATAATGTTGCTCCATTTGCTCCGGTGCCTGATAATTTGATTCTTAGACAACCAAACTCATGTGTTGTTTGTTTGTCTGAGCCAAGTACACATGCTTGTGCACCGTGTGGACACCGATGTATATGTGAAACCTGCAGTACCGGTCCTTTGTATAGATGTCCACTTTATCAAGGAGAAATTATTTTAATCATGAGGATTTTTAACTAAATAACTATTAACATTTAATGAATTATTATAAATAAATATTATTTATTATATTGTTTTATTGTTATTATTAAATTATATTCACATGTATGAATCTATTTTTATCTACCCTAGTAGTATGGTTTGAAGAAGAAAAATGTAATCGTGTTCAGCCTTGAAAATAAGTGCCTTTCAAATCGAATGTCAGAAAATAAAATTGGTGGTCAAAATCTTGAACCTCAAGGTATTAAGTAACAAAATGTTGTTTTCCGTTCAATGTTTTCGAGGCTTCCTCTGAAAACTATTTTAACTTTTCTCTTACACTATGATAGCTAGATAGTTTGTTGATATTTCTTTAGAAAAGTCTTGTCAAGTGTAGGTAGTTACATTTTTGAAATTCAAAAAAAATTAATCAATATTTGGTTTATAATTTACAGTTAAAGAAATGGTCAAATTTATCTAAATTTTTGTTCATCGATTCCTGAAGATTGGATTTTGTTATTCAGGGTCTTGTTAGAATCACATTAGCTTAGAGAATTGCAGTGAAGTGTTTCAGATTTATAATGGTTCATTCAGTACATACCTTCAAAGTTGTACATCATAGAAACTAATTTTATTATGTGTTAAACAATGAATTATTTTTTAAATTTATCCTTAAATATAGATGCTTAAAAGTTGTTTGATAGCTTATTATAAATAGCTTTACTAAGTTATTTAATAACTTAATATTATATTTCTCCTTAAAACCTACTTAAAATATTATAGTTTCATCAATGATGGGAAAGAGTAACAAATTATATAAACAAAAAACAATATTTATATAAATATTATATTTTTTTACTTTAAATGTTCATTTCAATACTTGGTTTTGCTTAAATCAGGCAAAATGTGTTACAAAGTATAATAGTGTACCTACATTCATTTTGAGGCATACATCAAATGCACTTAAAATTTTGCCAAAAAACTAATTTTTCAGGAAACAAAAAACATTACAACATTCAAAATATCAAAAATAATTTTGTGTAAAAATAAATGGTAATTATATATTTATAGTATAGTTAAGTTCTATCATTATATTTGTTATTTCATATTAGTTAAAATCAAATACTTGCATTATTGCATAAAATGAATATTTTTTCTTCATTTAACAATGAAATACAGAAATAATAAATAAAAAATACCTTTTATAATATTAGCACTCATATTTTTATTTTTGTGAATCAAAAATTGAAAAATAAACAAATTTAAATTTAAAAAAAAAAACTTGACTGTAACAACATCATAGTACATTAAAGCAAAAGTAAGTTTATATTTATACAAAAGTTTCTATGCTCTTCAGGTAAAAAAGGAATAGGTATGGCCACAGATAATTTTTCTTCTCTTGCGACTGGGTTTAGGGAAAAGTATCAATGTCTGATTTTTAACCCTTTCAGACCTGGAATTAAATTTTTGAAGTAAGAATTTTTTTTTTACTATATATGTGATAAAGAGGATATAAATATATTAAAAAAAATACTTAAAAAATTTTTAAGTTATTTCCCAATGAGATATTAGAATGTCCTCTGTGAAGGACATTGGGCTCTTACGCAGTCATAATTATAATAAAATCAAATATTTTTGATTTTATATAATATTGTGAAAGTAAATTAAAAAAATAATAAAATAATAGTGTAATCACAATTTTTAATATACATATTATAATAAATATTTTCTACTTGAAAATATAAAAAACAAAAACAAAAAAAAATAAAAAATAAAATAAAAAATAAAGTAAAATAACATAACAAAAAATAAAATAAAATAACTTGGTGGTTAATAACATAACTTTTAACATTGTAGATAATATTTTTCACATATAATAATTATCACAATTAATGCAAGGACTAGTTCATGTATAACAATAAAAAAATAGTAATAACAATTATTATTTTCTTCTTGAAAATAATATTTTATAAATTATTATAAAAAAAGATGCCTATATCTTTATAGGTATAATTATAAAACATAACTCATTTTGTAATAAATAACATGATAATATGTTCTTATTTTCTATGTTTTTGACGATAACATTCTCGCCCAGGAACAAAACATAAATGTATATTACATTTGTCACAATAAACATTTGTCTTGAATTTGCATGGACTATTTTTACATCTACTACTATTTAGTTTGTTGTCAAAAGTAGGCATATGATCTAATCCATCTTTTATGGTTTCTTCATATGGAGTTGAATCTACAGATCTTGGTTTAGTTCTAACTGGTTGTACTTCAGGTTCAGGAGTTGGAGATGGCGATGTACTAGGCCGGCCTCTTTTCTTTGGAGGAGTTATGAATGATTTGGTTCTTCCTAATGAAATTAGGGTGGTTGCTAAACGTTCTTTGAATGCTAGTAAGTCCATTGTGTTTCGAATTAGTATATTACAGTGGTTAGTGTGTTTCTTATACTCTAACCAACTGTTCACAGTAGCCATATCAAAAGCATGAGCAATTAACCTCAGTGTCCATTTTCGAGACTTGATAAAAGTTCTGTAAAAGCTAACAAGTTGGTCATGCACGTCTACTCCTCCCATTGACTTATTATATAATCCAATGACTTCCGGTCTTTCAACATCCACAAATTGTTTATGTTTTTTGTCCCAACGCTTGATTGTTTCAGGTTCACCAGATGTTATAAAATTAGAACCTAGAACAACTCCTTTATTGTCAAACCATTTTATGAGACCTATTTGACTTTTTTGGCCTTCTGCTATTCCAGATACTTCATAAGAAGTTCCTCGACCCATTTTTGATAAACATTTATCGGTTAATAGTGGAGGGTTAGCAAATCGATTGACTCTAACGGTCCCAGCAGCATAAATATACCTGTCAGCTAGTACAGACAATAAATTATATGAAGTGAAATAATTGTCAAAATACACATAATGCCTATTTCTCTCCAGACGTTCAATGAATTGCATCACTACTGCTCCACCTTGGCCAAATAGATTTTGAACAACAGGATCTAATTCAGTACTACTACCTTGGAACATGATGAAATCATAGACAAGTCCACTTGAACCACACATTAGAAAAATTTTAATACCCCAAGGATGAGGCTTACCTCGCATGTACTGTTTTGGAGCAAGTTTACCTTTAAAAGGAACCATTTGTTCGTCTATGCTTATATTTTGTTCAATTGGTAGTTGATAAAATCTATTTTTCATATGGTTATAAAGTGGTCTAACTTTTATGAATTTATCGGTATTTCTCTGTGGAATTTCTTCATTATTCATGACATGAAAATGGGTTCTCAACTCAAAAAATCTATTTCTAGTCATATTATTAGCAATTATATCAATTCTAAATTCTTTTTGCCAATACATCCTGACCCTTGGTAAATTCAATACACCCATCATCAAATGAATACCAACAAAAACTTTCATCTCTGCAGATGTTGTTTGAACCCATTTATTTGTTAATTTTTGTTCGGCATAAATATTAGTGTACATGGCCATTTCATTAAATGCTTCTTCAGTAAAATATTTCATAAAATAAGAAATTGGTGATGGTATAGTATTAGGGAACTCTGTTTGCTCAACATTTCTAAGAATTATGTTTTTTTGTTTCATAGGCTTACATAACCACTTGATTGAACTTTTAGCGAATGTTGTAAATTTTTTGAGTACTGGTGGTGTATTTGTATGTGTTACAATATTTGGCATGCTTACTTCATCAGTAGGTAGTGTCTGTATTGGTAGTAGTTGATCAGGAGTAAATATATCAACGTCATCTTCATTATCGTCTTCTTCACCATCAACTGTACCATAAACACTTTCAACGAGTTCATTTGCAATTGCAATGTCGTCAATGTCTTCATCGTCTTCTTCATCAGACAATTCTATGTCTGAATTCATGCCATCCAACATATCAAGCAACTCCTCATTGGTCAACTTGCAACTCATCTTTGACTAATTAATAATATAATAATTATATTTTTAAATCAACATAATAGTTATAAAATTATTATTCCAATGTTATTACTTACTTGTGTATATGATAAATAGAAAAAACAACTTAGAATTTAAAAACGGAATCGCTAATATTTATACAAATAAAATAAGTTTTATTATATGTATAATATATTATATTATTATTCAAACATAACAAATAACTATCTAACTAAACAACGTAAGTCGTAACAATTAACAACGACATAAAATATAAATAAGTAATAACGAATTTGACATTAGGTTCCTATTTTCGTATTATAACGTTTTTGATAAAATAATAAAATGAATAATGATAATATGATGTTATCATAATTTTACTCCGTAAGTGCCCGATGTCCTCTGTGAGGGACATACATAACTGCTGTTATAACATCAAGATTACTGGTTTTGGTGGAACAATGGTGATTCGTACATATGGACTATAATGTTATCATGACAAAGAAAAAGTTTCAGATTTCTAAAACCAATTCATCCACAAGAAAATCATAATTCTGTTATCAACTATTGATAAAAAATTTTGACAACAATTTTTGTTCACATTTATTACTATAAAATATACATTATAAGACTCGCATAATTAATATTATGTTATTTGTAATCATTACGCTATTACCATGACGATAAGATATTTTTTAAATATTATAACTGATTTGTAACCTTATGAGAATTAATATAAAAGAATGTCCTCTGTGAGGGACATGGGGTCTGAAAGGGTTAAGTTAAAATGTATCTAAGAGGATTTCTGTTAAAATCTTTCTAATTTTCTTCATCAGAAAATAATTCCTATTATGATGGAAGCATTTGATTGACTTATTATTATTTTGTACAGCAATTTAACTTGCTTTCTAAAAATGTAAGCATCCTAACAAAATATTAGTGAAATTTGTTAAGGGGAAGCTTTTGAAGTGCCGTTTAAGGTAGGGGCTCCGAGTTTTCCTTTGTTACCTTCACTTGAACCTCTGTCCCACATACACATAAAGTGACATAAGACATAATGGCTGTATCATAATATCATTATATTCACAAAAGGTACTTGGAACGCACATGAAGCAACTGAAGCTCCTCTCGGAATCGTCGGAAGATATGGTTTATAATTTTTTTTAAATCATGTACTCCCACTCGAGAAGCAAAGAATACCTACCCTATGTGCGAAGTACGTTTTTTTTTTACTGTTCTTAGTTAATAATATATCTTTACTGTTTGGTATTATAATTTTCCATGGCTACCGTAATTAACAAACAGTAGGTACGTCAAATTGAACACAATCGAAATATCTTCGTGCATCATGTTGTTTCTATAAATGTCAGAAACTTCCAAAATTTGTATACCTATATTTAAGAGTAAAATCTGCTACCTTATTTTTCTATAAATTATTTTTGCCTTGTAACGTAAGGACCTGCAAAGTACCTAAGACGTTTGTGCCTTTGTGATTGTCTACGTGTGGCACTATGATTCTGAAGCCTCTTAATATAAATGCAGATTTAGGTGATATATTCAATCATCTTCATCTGCAGTTTCAAAAAAAAAAAATCACTCCCAAAAAATAAAATAATTGCACATATCTATGGTTATGACTAGGACGTGGATTTTAGTGTTCTATAAAAAACACAAAAAATATTTTAAAAACTAGGTATTAAATGCTCCAAAAAATAGTACTTTATTAAAAGAAACGCACTTGTACCTATATTTTTTAAGGAATCAATAAAAAACATTTATCAGTAAATCTATAATATGCCACCTCAGTCACTAAACGTGAAGTACCTACATGTCCTACATATAGTACCTATAAAATATATTCCAAAGGAAATTAATAATTTTAACTTTTCCATTTTAAAGGAGAATAAACCTAACCTAACTTTGATCTTGATTCTTGATTATATATACACTCGTCAATTTATCTAATAATACAAAAATTATATCCTTAGGGCCGTTCTTACGATGTCTGGTTAAAGTTAACCGACACTTAACCGGAAGAATTCTGCCGGTAATAAAATCTGTTATCAGTCGGTTAGCGTTAACCGACACTTTACCGGACATTGTAAGAACGGCCCTTAAAATATAAAATAATTCTGATAAAATATTTTTCCGTTATAATACGGTTCCAACAAAATACGTTTCCGACAAAAAGTGTTTTAGATGAAATACGGTTCCGTTATAATACGTTTCCAACAAAATACGTTTCCGACAAAAAGTGTTTCAGATGAAATACAGTTCAAAAGAAATATGTTTCCGACAAAATCCATTTCCGACTGAATATGGTTCATGTAACTTCCAATTTTGATAAAATGAGATTCCAACAATATGTGTTTCCAAAATATCCAGTTCATGGAAAATGACTTTCCGATAAAATATTTTTCGGTTAAAATATGCTTCCAACAAAATACGTTTCCGAAAAAATACTGTTCTGACAAAATATGTTTCCGACAAAATATGGTTCCGCCAAAATACGATTCCGACGAAATATGTTTCCAAAAAAAAAAATTTCCGACAATATACGGTTCCGACAAAATATTTTCCAACTTTATACGCGTTCCCTGTATAAGCACATATTATCACACATTACTTTATAGTTTATACAATTACAAACATTTTTTTCAAAAAATACTGCCAGTGACTTCAATTACTTTACTAAGCTCAGTAGGATGTTTCGATTTATATTTTGAAAGCAGTTCTCCTCTAAATTTACTATGCTTTTGCTGTCATACATTTTTCATATTCCATATCAATGTATTTACATTAGAATTATGAATATGATCTATTTTTACTCTTTTGTAAGTAAATTTCTAAGTAAAAAAAAAAATAAAAATCAGAAAATGAAACTGTAAAGGAAAAAATAATTGAGTGACGAATTCAACTCTGCTTTTGAAATGAATATCAAAACATTACATTGGGCGTAATGGTTGAAGTCATGAGCTAAGTTTTCGACCGAAAATGTATCACGCTCCAACCCCCATAATGTATTACTGTAGTAAGTAGTAAAATATAATTTGAAAAATAAATTTACACAAAATCTGTATAATACTAAACTAGTATCGAGTATATAAGTTGATTATGTCCTTATCAATATTAAATTTGTAAAACAATATTTTTTTAAACAGATGGAAATATCAATGAGGATATAGAATATGGCAAGTACATAATTCAACGATAACATAATAGTTAATAATTATATAGTTGCCAGCTAAAATATTGATTGTTTTTTATCAAGCTGAGTTTTAACATTATGATGGAAATTTACATGTCTTTAGACTAAAGAGGAAAATGGAAAACAGTTGTGCCTATATATTTTTAATATTTTTCTAATGATTTGGTGACAATAAATCAGGAGCCTTAAATTAAATTATCACGCTTTTTTACCAAACAAATGAAATTTTATTGACAATTATAGAAAAAAAAAGTAACAAAATTGAAAACTGACAAATCCAAAAAAACAGTTCAAAAAGAGTCAGAATATTTTAAAAATTGTATGGACTATAGAAAATAAAAATATAAACACTATCATTATATACTATGTATTTCATGTATATACGTTAATTTGTTTAAAAGCTACACCAAAGCTTTTGAGTAAATTTCCCGTTTTTCCTAAATTTTTATTTTGTTTTTCTCGGTGCTTTTGAAAACTATTGTGAATTTTAAATTTTGACCTCCCGAATTCACCAAATAGATTCAATTTCCCATCAAACAAGACACTGTTGAAAAAAATCGAAGCAGTTTTACTGCTTCAAACTGTGATGACAGACACAAGAATAACAAAAAACTTAAAAGAACACATCGAGAGTGCACACATCATTGTAAAATCAATATATTCATCGCTCCACTAATAATAACATACAAATAAAATGTGATCAATTATTATTTATTGAGGAGTAATACAAGTGTTATGTATATTTTATTAGGGGAAAATGTATTCAAAAATGCCATCAAATCATATGCTTTAAGTAAGATCATTATTACAGATTTAATCTACTTACTTAATTTTATACAAATCAATTAAGTTTCTCTGATGAAATATCAATAGAGTTCAAATTTTGTAAAAAATAAATGTAGTTAATAAAAATATTTTAAATGTAAAAAACAAATAAAACATTTTTTTTTAAATGTTGTCATACCTTTTCAATGGTTTTACTCTAAGCCGGTGGATTATCAAGATCAACCAACCACAATGAACAGTTAAAGGATAAACTATTTTACATAACAATACAAGTATTCCCTGTTATACTTATACATCTAACAGTACAAACTCCAGAGAAAACTATGTCCGAGATAGATTTAAGATATGTACCTTATACATGCTAATATAACATTATTTTGTATCAAGCTAACAATATGTTCATCACCAAATCTTAATTTATACAATAATGAATAATTATTATATTTGTACGGCCATGACATCATGTAGTACATGATGTATTCTACCAATTTAATATACAATAATTGTTTGAATATAATTTAGTAATTATATTTCTATTTCTATTATTCCTCAATAAACAATAAAAATCATTATAATTATGATTTTATAGAAGTTAGTTTTTGAAATGTTTCATCATATGACCATAAAATAATGATAAGTTTGTAAATTATTCGTGAAAAATAAATGATTTAAGATCATTTGACTTTTAAAATGTTGTAGAGAAAAATTTAAAATGTATGATTATAATTAACACTAGGTACATATCTTATTTTTTTTTTGTAGGTACGTTAAAAGAATCTAAAAGAAAAAGTAAGTTAGTGGAATTAGGTTATATTAATACCTAATAGGTATTACCTATAGGTAGTAGTTATAGTACAATAAAAACTAATCTTTCCAAACGTATCGTTCCAAGCGCCCTACATTAATAAGTTAACGTATGTTGTTTTGTTAAAGTAATCACGGACACCTGGCTCGGTAATTTATTTGTTGATAATTGTTCTGGGGTTTAAATTTAAAAAAAACTGGTAATTGGGTGACGGTC